AAATACTGGGGTTTGCTTAGGGGCTCTGATATTACCAACACTTTGAATCTTAGAACTGTTCTCAGAGGGCTGCACATTGAGAAGCTGTTGCTTTGCAGTTGGTTTTTTTTTCAGTTCACTCCTTACTTCACCAGATTGTCTCTGAGAAGACACTGCACATCCCATTCTCTCAGGAAGTTTCAAGTGACCTGGATGAGAATATAACTGGCGACTTTCTTCACAGTATGAATCTCCCCTGTGACCTGAATAGCTTCTGGGCAGCTTTGTAACACTTTCTTGGGGAACCACTTGCTTGTTAGGCAAAGGGCTGAGCAATGCTTTGCCTTTGCCAGGGCTTTTTAGGGTACGGATGGAGCCGGGAGCAGTCTGTGGTCTGGCTTTGGCTGCCTTTCCTTTCTCATTCTGTACAGTCTGCATTTGCAGCCATTCCAGCTGCAAAAGGCGATCAATGTACTTCTCAAGAAATCCTGTTGGCTTTGGTCGAAATTCAGTTTTACCCTCTACATTAACAAAGATGGCCAGTTGCTTCAAGTCCCATGAGTTGAAAGGGGGTGGGAGGAAGTCTGGGTAGTAATATTCCGATTCTTTAAAACCCGTATCAGGGACATGTTCCAAACAAACTGGATCAATTTCTTCAGCTCTGAGAATGAGTTCTGGTGGTGTGCAGGGAGATGGGGGAATGGGAATCCTTTCTGAATCAGAGAGGTCACTGGCACTGTCATCTTCAGCATCTTCTTTAATAATTTGTACTGATTCAAAATCAAGAAACATTTCATCTACAGATGGTTCTCGCCATTTAGAAGAGCATGGACCAGCTTCAGCAACATGTTCTTCATGATTCTTTTCCAACTCTTCTTTTTTACTGTCATAAAAATGTTGCATTGAGCCTTCTTTAACCCTACAGAAGCTACCTTGTGTGCTGCCCTTTATGCTAGGAGGGATCCTGTGCAGGAAAGATTCATTTTGCCTTCTTTCTGGGAGACTCATCTTTGGTCCTTGTACTCTGTGCAGTGATGTGCAAACACTCGTGATCCTGAATGAAAAGAAAGATCATATCCTGTTAGAATGATTAATGTCTTTGGAACAACAGTTTACAAAGGTCTTGCTACCTCCTTCAAGGACATGGATCTACACGAATGAAGCTAAAATTGGCATGGAAATGTAGTAATGAGGTAAAAGTAATATCTGCTGGCAGAGATAACACTGCCTACTACTGATTTTTTTTGTTTTATTTTATTCTGATTTTGCCTGAGAACTCACTAAGTTCCCATATTGATAACTTAAATTTGTTGTCCTCATAAATGCTGAATTCTGGGACCAGCTAAGCCAAAGGCAAAACACAGAAGCCATGATTTCATCACAAGCATTTTATATACCAGTTTGAAATGTCTACAAATTAAACAGACAATCTTAACATAAAGTTACCTTTTTGACTGAGTATTGTCATCCAGCTGGTTTCTTCCCTTCTTAAAAATACTTGGTTGGTTACCATCTTGAGTCTCATGGGAAATCTGAAAAGATATGAAAGTATGTGATGTTATGAAGAAAGCTGACATAAACTAAGTACCCTTTTTGTGTTTAAAAAAAAAAAAAAAAGAATTATTTACCTTTTCAATGAAGCTTGATACATTTTTGCCTAATCTTCCAGGAGAAGTTTTCACATGAGAAATTGGTTTATTTAGTCCTTTGGTGCTCAGATGGCTTTCTCCATTACTGTAACTAACAAGGATTAAACAGAATGTCACATATAAATAGCAACATATACGATCATCAGAATAGAAATACAATAAAAGTTTAGAGTGCAATTCAGTTTAAAAAAGAGAGAGAGCTGATTGCAACTATTCTTAAAGTTCATCAGAACTATGCCATGGTCACTTTTTATTTTTTTGTACTATTAAGGCACTACTATATTTTTAATACTACCAATGCAAAAGTTAATAATTCAATCAGATGACATAATAATAGAACTTAGCCCTTATATAGAATTCTCTATCAGAGGATCCCAAAGTTACTTTGGGGATAATAAATAGTAAATATTAGAGACTACATATTTAACTACTCATTTAATAGTAACTGGTACATGGTCCTACTGCAATTTGAAAAAATTAATTATAAAGTACAGTACGAAGGCCACTGCAAACCAAATCTTGCTTGCCTTTCTCATTTGCATACTCTCAACAAAATTTAAAGGATTATTCCTACGAAGTTAAGGAGTGGAAGTGGGCAGGGAGCATACAATCTATTCTGATATTAATACAAACTATTTCACAACAAAGGCACAAACAAAATTCACCATTTCATCTTTTGCTGGGGTTGTGGAAATATTAGTAGGAGAAAAACTCATATGCAAGCAAATGGATGGCCTTACTGATCTGGACAGCTTAAAACTAAAATACATATTTCCTCAATTAAATCAGATACATTTCTGTGTAAGCACACAGAATCATTAAATCTGTATTCTGTAAGAATCAGAAAACAGTGTTTGTTCTACAAACAAGAAATACTACTAATTTTAAAAAGGAAAGCTTTAAAATGTCATTTTAGAACAAGAATGAGCAAACTGTGCCCTCCCGGTCTAATCTAGTTTGACTGCAGTTCAGTTAATTTGTCAGGCTGTACATCTTGTTCGCAGTTTTTATGTCTGTATAGTCAGATTTTGTTTTAAAAACCATGATTTAACCAATTCAAGAGCTTATAAAAGAATGAAAATAAGCCTTGTGCCTCCAGCATTAATGCAGTCACCTTTGTCACTTTGTGACCTGCATGATCATACTGCACAATCATTTCTGTCGCTGTGGACAACCTGAGCAGTACAGCCATGCACTTATTAACTAATCAACAGTATTTAGAGGTTTCTGTAACTAGAAAGACAGAAAATAATTTCCTTACTTTACCGTTCCTTTGTGGTTTTCATTGATTTGGCTTTCCTTTTTCTGTGTCTCTCTGTGCAGTAATAAGGGATATTCTTGAATGCCTGGTCCCATTATTACTCTTTTTAAAGGGTATCTGCACCTTTATTGTTACATAATCTTCAAACGACTCCAGTCTTTTGGGTTCGTAAGGCACAGCGTATCAAATGCAAACATCACCACGTCCTAGAGATGCAGTAAACAAACACCATGCGATTCCTCCCAACGTGATTTATTTTTAAAGCAGTAAGACAGACGTAATCAGCTACCAAACGGTACTGGAAAACACTGTCCCCTCCACCAGCGCTCGCTTAATGGGAACCAGCATCGTTCGCCTTACTACTGCCCATCCGTGCCGAGCTGTCATCGCCCCGGGTACTGAGAGGAGAGCCGAGCAGCGAGGGCAGCCGTGCTCCCCCTCCCAGGGGCACAGGCTGGCCACTAAAGCTGTAGAGCACCGCAGGCCAAAGCCAGCCAGGGGGGACAGGCACAGGCTTTGCTGTGGGAAGCCCTGCTGCTGCTGCAGCCACCAGGCACAGCCCGTCAGTCAGCCCCGGTACCGCATCAGTACCGAGCGAGGCTGGGCCAGCTGCCCCGCAAACCACCGAGCTCTTGCCATGAGGTTTACAGGCCTGTCCCTGAAGGACCGTTGGTAAGATACAGTTAAATATCTGAAGGTACAGCAGCATTGGAAGAGCTACTTTTCATTGTGTAATGTGCTCGTCATCATTTTGTTCCTCCTGCGCAGCATTACATGTATTGACTGGAGCCAAGTATCACAGTCAAACGGCGGTGGGTGTTTCTGCTCTTAATTTAACAAGAGCAGCTGATCAACCACCCACGTTCTGTGCATGTTGAGCTGTCTTTTTTGTGTCAGAAAATGCGCTCTTCCTATATTCATATATGCAAATCTTGTACCAGATACTTAATTTTTTTCTTTTTCCAAAACAAACCTGTCGGGACTCATAAACTCCTACTAAAAATACTCAGAACAGAATTTGTAGCATTCTTTTATTTTCCAGAAACCGCACTCCCATACCAGGGTGCGCAGATACGATTTGCAAAAGGTGACAGATGACGAGCACCGGAACACCCCTCTTCACTCACCTTTAGTTCTGTTGCAGCGCTCTTTACATATTTACGTCCCTATTCGTACCTGTATCTATCTACACTTGATCCCGTCCCATTCCCCGGTGCCCCTCTCCCCCTCGCCCCCTTGGCCGAGGAGGGAGCGCGGGGCAGGGTGCTGGCTCCCAGGGGACCAGGCCCCCGCGGAGCGGTACCC